CTCCCTAGCTCCTTTCCCTACAATTCATCCAGTCTGGTTACCATCTTAAAGCTCCTAATACCTTCTGATGTTAGTTATCCTCACAACTCCCTAATCCATGTTCTCCCACAAAAATAGGAGGTCAGAGGGGTCTGCTTTGCCTCATAAAGGCATTTACTAGAGCCAGAATGCTTGCATTTGAATTCCAGCTTTGCCACTTGACATCTGAGTTGTCTGGGTCTCTGTACCTTCATTACATAGAGTTGTAAGGATTATAAATTAATACATGGAAACTGCTCAGAACAGCATTGGCAAATAGCAAAACTTATTATTATTACATCATTATCACCTCATAGAGATATTGTGATACTCAAGTAAGATAATGTGTATCAAACTCTTTTGTAATGTACTATTATCATTTTGCATTACAGTGACATATATCTCCATCACCACCACAGATTAGAGAACAAGAACTACCATTTATTTTAATGGCCCACTTTGCACATAGAAAACACTGAAAAGTTTGTATTTTACTGAAATGTTACAGTATGACTGAATCACCATTGACTGTTAGTTTAGAAGAAAGCCCAAATGCCATTACATTAAGACCACTCCCCATCTTGCTATATAACACATAGGCCCATTCATGTCTTCTGCTATGTTCATGATCTTCAAAGTGGAGTCCACAATGGACAGTCCACCGCAACAGGGGAAGGCAATTTTAAAAATTCTATCACAATTTATTTTTATCTCATCTAGGTAAATTTTAATTTTTGTATTTATCATTACTAATGTACATGAAAATACTATGAAAATGCTATACTATATAAATAAATGTTAAATGTGCAATGGAAGTACAGGCTCAAAAAATTTTTGCTGACTTCCAGCCAAGATGGAGGTATAGGTAGACACACTTTGCCTTCTTGCACAACCAAAAGGACAACAACAAATTTAAAAACAAAAACTATCCAGAACTTCCAGAAAATCAAACTGTATGAAAATCTGACAGCTAAGGAGTTAAAGAAGAAACATTCATCTAGACCAGCAGGAGGGGTGGACAGGCAGCTGGAGTAGGGATGACTCACAGCAAGGTTGGCACCTCCCCTGGAGGACCGGACAGGCAAGGTGGTGGCTGGTAGAGCAGGCATGCAGATAAACCGGGAGGAACAACTGGGGAGCAAGACAGACCACACAACCCAGGGTTCCAGCTCAGGGAAATAAAACCCCCAAACCTCTGACTGAAAAAACCTGTGGGGGTTGCAGTGGTGGGAGAAACTCAGCCTCACGAGAAAGTTTGTTGGAGAGACCCACAGTGTCCTAGAATGTATACAAACCCACCCACCTGGGAATCAGAACCAGAAAGGCCCAATTTGCTTCTGGGTATCCAGGGACATGACTGAAAATTAGTCGAGAGCCCAGCAACCAGCATTGTTCCCTCTCAGACCCCTCCCCCACATGCAGTGCTACAGTGCAGGTTGCCCCGCCCTGGTGAATACCTAGGTAACAGGCATGTGGAGAAAAAGAAATACAGCCCAAATGAAAGAACAGATCAAAGCTCCAGAATAAATACAACTAAGTGACAAAGAGATAGGCAACCTATCAGATGCAGAGTTCAAAACACTGGTAATCAGGATGCTCACAGAAATGGTTGAGAATGGTAACAAAACAGAGAAAAAAGTGAAAGCTATGAAAAGTGAAATAAAGGAAAATGTACAGGGAACCAACAATGAAGGAAAGGAAGTACAAGGACTCAATTAACAGTTTAAAGTACAAGGAAGAAATAAACATTCAACCAGAAGAGAATGAAAAAAACAAGAATTAAAAAAAAGTGAGGTGAGACTTAGGAACCTCCAGGACAACTTTAAATGTTCCAACATCCAAACCATTGGGATGCCAGAGGGAGAAGAGGAAGAGCAAGAAATTGAAAACATAATGAAGGAGAACTTCCCCAATCTGGAAAAGGAAATAGACTTCCAGGAAGTCCAGGAAGCTAAGAGAGTCCCAAAGAAGTTAGACTCAAGGAAACACACACCAGGGCACAACATAATTACATCACTGAAGATTAAGGAGGAGAGAATCAAAGCAGCAACAGAAAAAGAGACAGTTACCTACAAAGGAGTGCCCATTGGACTATCAGCTGACTTCTCAAAAGAAACCTTACAGGCAAGAAGGGGCTGGAAAGAAGTATTCAAAGTTATGAAAGGCAAGGACCAACATCCAAGGTTACTCCAACCAGCAAAGCTATCATTTATAGTGGGAGGGCAGATAAAGTGCTTCCTAGATAAGGTAAAGTTAAAGGAGTTCATCATCACCAAGCCCTTATTATATGAAATGTTAAAGGTCTTATCTAAGAAAAAGAAGATAAAAATATGAATATTAAAATGACAACAAATTCACAACTACCAACAACAGAACCTAAAGAAAACAAAACAAAAATGAACTAAGCAAACAACTAGAACAGGAATAGATTCACAGAAATAGATATCATATGTACGGTTATCAGTGTGGAGGGGAAGGGGGAGAATGGGGGGAAAGGTACAGATAATAAGAAGCATAAATGGTAAGTACAAAATAGACAGGAGGAGGTTGAGAGATAGTATGGGAAATGTAGAAGCCAAAGAACTTATATGTCTGACCTACAGACATGAACTAAGGTGGGGGAATGATGGTGGGGGTGTACAGGGAGGAGGGGTATAAAGGAGAGAAAAAATGGGACAACTGTAATAGCATAAGTGATTAAATATATTTTAAAAATGTTTTACTAAAGGGGTGTACTATCTAAAAAGTCTAGAGATTAGCACGCCACTCCACAATGTGGTCTGTCTCCTAGTACCCAGATGACATCATGTACCTCCTCCTAGAACATACTTTATATCTTTCCAAATCTGGCTCACAACTTTTCAAGTTGCAACTTGAATTCTTCCCCCCAAGACCTAAACATCACCAAAGGTAAGCTTCTTAAAAGAAGTCTCTATATCTGGTCCATCATTGCCTTATTCCCAGTCTTCCACCTCTCCTAACACAGATATTGCTACTGGGAGGCAGGAAAGGGTGCTGGTTACCAGCAGAGGCTTAATAGACTGAGCAGCCTGAGCCTCAGATTCTTCCTCTGTGAAACTGAAGCTAGAAGAGTACCTGTCTGATAGGGACCTTGAGACAGTTAAATCAGTTATAACCTGGAATATAACAAGCACTTTCAAGTGTCAGTATTATGGTCTCCCTAAGATTTAAACACAGCCATGTCTGAAAAGTATGCATGAGTGAATGACTCAATCTTCTCTACTCTCACCTCATATTTACAACTTCCCTGAGATTATTGTGGCACTTTTCACTTGGATTGATTACCTCACATACTTTTCCCTGTCTTGTGAATTAATCTCCTTAAGACCAGTAGGTATGCTTTGCTTTGTTTTAATAATGTCATTGTTGCTGCTGTGCATTTTAATAAGATAAGCTCTTTTGTATTTCTGGGTGGGGGAGGGGTAAGCTGTGAATCTGGTGGCTAAATTTTCCTTTTGAATTGTCAATAGTATTTTAATTTATTTTTATTTTTTACAATTTCACATGAGTGTTGCAGAACTAATACTTGTTGATTCCCTGCACAGATAATAGAGTTAAATACAAAACATTATCTTGACTCAGGAAGATTTATTTAGTAGTATCATTTAGTCCAGAAAATGTCAAAAATTCATGAAGTATAAAATGAAAAACAGTATAATCACTTTAGAAGACAGTCTGGCAGTTTTACTCAAAGCTCAACATGGTCTTCCCATACAATGCAGTATCACTGTCCTAGGTATTTATCCAAGTGAATTAAAAACTCACGTTGTATGTCCACAAAAAACCCTGCACATGAATGCTTATAGAAGCTTTACTAATAAGTGCCAATAATTAGGAGCAACCAAGACATGTCCTTCTATCAGTGAATGGAGAAACCAACTGAGGTATAATCATTCAATGGAATTTTATTCAGCAATAAAATGAGATGAGGTATAAGTCATTCCAGAATAAGTCATTGGGAAACCTTAACTGAACATTACTAAGTAGAAAAAGCTAGTCTAAAAAAATGTGTACTGCCTAACTCCAACTACATGACCTACCAGAAAGGCAAAACTAGACATACCACAAACAGGTGAGTGGTTGCCATGGGTTCAAGGGGAGGGCGGGAGGGATGAATCAGTGGAGCACAGGGAAATTTTAAGGGCATTTGAAATCATTCTATCAGACACTGTATTGGCAGACCCATGACACTATGTATTTGTCAAAACCTATAGAACTATACAACACAAAGAATGAAACCCAAAGTCAACTATAAACTTTAATTAATAATAACATACCAAGATTGGTTCATCAATTATAACAAATGTACCACAAAATTGCAAGATGTTAATAATAGAGGAAATTGTGCAGAGGGAGAATGGATATCTGGGAATTCTTTACATTCAGTGCAACATTTTTTGTAAAAGTTGATTCTTTAAAAATAAAATCTGCTTTAAAAATAAAATCTATTATTAAAAATTGTCCATGGTAAATAGAAAAATTAACTCACAGCAAATTATATATGCATGTGTATAAAAATACATACATCATATATATGCATATGCATGTATTCAGATAAAATGAGATAACTATACATATTTTTTTCGTGATAATCTTAAATGTTATATTCTGTTATTTTCCCTCTTGACATAATGCTTCTACAGAGACTAACTGTTAATGACAGGGGAGGAAATGCAAACAGCTGTGCTAAATCATGCTTATAAAAAATTTGATAAATGAACAGCAGTAGGGTTTAAGTGGATAGTTGTGGGATTCTGAAAGTTTAGGAAAGAATTGTTTTTAAAGGATATAATGATGCCAATTATGAAAATACATAGTCAGTAGCTCAATGAATTTTATTCTTTAGTTATTTCACTTTCAAGAATTACAAATAGATACTAAAATACAAAACTGCATGATGACAGCACCTACTACATTTTCCCAAAGAGTTTAAGTCTGAGAAAAGCAAAAGAAGTACATACCAACTCATTGAAGCTGACCATTATAATATGCTGATATTCTTCACCATTTTTACCTTCAATCTCACAATCAGATGATGCTACTGGCAACAGAACAAGGATCAGGGGAGGAATTCCAAAGATATACCTAAAAGAAACTAAAGTCAACAGTAAGTAAGAATAAGCTAAACATTATAAGTCATATTATTTGATAGTAGCATTTCAATGGGCCTGGCCACGCAGTTCTAAAAATTATAAACATGCATCTTGGCTTTTTGATAGAATGGGAAGAATTCTAAGATTCAATATTAAATAAAAACAAACGTAAGACAGAATTTTAGTATTTGGGTTTCTTTCACTTCTTAATTGAGAAATTACTCTTTAAGAAAGTGCAGAAAAGGGTGGATGCCAGCAGAGTCTCTTTGCTCCTGGGAAACACTCAACATATAAATACAATTTATCTAATTTTGATTTATGTTGAACATCCCTACAAGAAAAGGCACCCACAGGTGAATAGGTAAACTAATGACAGGTAAAAACAGTATGCATTTTTGAAATTTTATGATCTATGGCATGTAATTGTATATGTATGTAAAACTCAGTGGTTGTCTAAGTGGATGCATTACAGGTTAATCTCCATGCTACTGCCCTGTGATCATGTGTGTGTGTGTGTGTATATATATATATATATATATGTGTGTGTGTGTGTGTGTGTGTGTGTATGTGTATAGTGTTTACCCTTCCCAGAAATGTTAAAGCTGACATTTGCATTTTGAGACTCCTTATCTTTTCAGTAACTGCTATTTCTAAGTACTCAAAGACCCCTATTCTCCTCACACACTGTTTAGCTTCTTGATATGTAAGAAAAACCCAGTAAATAAGTTCACACCCTGTTAACTAATTATTTCTATCTGTTTTTATAAGCCTTCCTAATTAGGGGCAATTGTGTAATCAAAAGGAATGAAATCATAAATGGTATAATTTGGAGCAGTAATAATACAGGAATAGAAAGTCAGTGGTTCCCAGACATAAAAATCTGGTTATATAGTGACTTAATTCTTCATTAACCTGCCAGAGTATCTTCTCTGCATCTTTTGGTAAATGCTTGGGTTATACTGACAACATATTTTCTGTGAATTCCCCAAATGAACTTTAACTGTACTTATTGAGTGCAAGGCATTTCACATGTGCACCTTCTTGGATAAAGATTACAAACAATAGGACTTCCGCCAAGATGGAGGCGTAGGTGGAAACATTGTGCCTTCTCGCACAACCAAGTTTAAAAACAACAAAGTTTTAGCAACAAAAGCACAGCCAAACCACAGAAAATTGAACTATACGGAAGTCTGACAACAACGAACCATTCAGCCAAACTGGTAAGAGGGGCAGAGCCAGCAGTGGAGCGGGGTCGGGCAGAAAAGATCCACTGGACCTACCCGGGAGCACAACCCCGGCACCCAGGCAGAAGTGGGTAGATCCCAGGTGTGGAGAAGCGGGCGGACCCACTGAGGGCTGACTGAGGTCACACATTCGCACACAGATAAACCAGTGAAGGAGCAAGCAGTGAGACGGACCACACATGCCCCAGCAGTGGGAAGCAGCAGAGGGGACCGCTATTGTCCCTCTCTGACCCCGCCCCCACATACAGTGTCACAACCCAGCAACTGGGTCACCCTGCCCTGGTGGACACCTAAGGCTTGGCTCCTCATACATAACAGGTGTGAACAGATCAAAACATTATGGCTCAAGAACAACTCAGAGCCCCAGAGCCCATAACTCTAAGCAACGAAGAAATAGTCAGACTTTCAGATGCACAGTTCAAAACACTGGTGATCAGAATGCTCACAGAACTGGTTAATTTTAGTCACAAATTAGAGTAACATATGAAGGCTAAACTAATTGAAATGAAGAGAAATGTACAGGAAACCAACAGTGATGGAAAGGAAACTGGGACTCAAATCAAGGGAGTGGACCAGAAGGAAGAAAAAAATGACCAGACAGAAAAATATGAAGAAACAAGAATTCAAAAAAATAAGGAGAGGCTTAGGAACCTCCAGGACATCTTTAAACGTTCCAACATCCAAATTATAGGGGTACCAGAAGGGGAAGAGGAACAGCCTCAAGTGGAAAACTTATTTGAAAGAAAAATAAAAAAGAACTTCCCCAATCTGGCAAAGGAAATAGACTTCCAGGAAATCCAGGAAGCTCAGAGAGTCCCAAAGAAGTTGGACCCAAGAAGGAACACACAAAGGCACATCTTCATTACATTAGCCAAGATTAAAATGAAGGAGAGAATCCTAGAAGCAGAAAGAGATATGGGGACAGTCACCTACAAAGGAGTTCCCATCAGACTGTCAGCTGATTTCTCAAGAGAGACCTCACAGGCAAGAAGGGGCTGGAAAGAAGTATTCCAAGTCATGAAAGGCAAAACCCTACCTCCAAGATTGATGTATCCGCAAAGTTTTCATTTAGAATGGAAGGACAGATAAAGTGCTTCTCAGATAAGATCAAATTCAAGGAGTTCATCATCACCAAGCCCTTATTATATGAAATGTTAAAGGGACTCACCTAAGAAAAAGAACATAAAAAAAGATGAACAGTGAAAGGACAGCAAACTCACAGTTATTAAGAACCACACCTGAAACAAAAGCAAACTAAGAGGACAGCTAGATCAGGAGTGAACCATAGAAATGAAGATCACATGGAGGCTTAGCAACAGGGGACTTGGAGGAGGAGAAGGGGAGACAAGGTACAGAAAATAAGTAGCATAGATGGTAAGTAGAAAATAGATAGGGGGAGGGTAAGAATAGTAGGGGAAATATAGAATCTAAAGAACTTGAGACACGTGGTCATAAACTAAAGGGGGGTAATGGTGGGGGAGGGGTATGCAGGATGGAGGGGAATGAAGGGGGGGAATAGAACAACTGTAATGGCATAATCAATAAAATATATTTTTAAAAAGATCACAAACAATACTCCTTAGAACCCAAGCTACTAATATTGTGACAATGACCTAAAGACTATTAAATATATCACAAAGTCCCCAATAACCTTGTCATCTATGATATCATTATTTGTTATAAATTGGTAGCACTTAATAAATTATGTGCTATTAAAACCCATATTTTACAAGTAAAGTAGGGTGGGTAGCAGATATGGGAACAAACATGAATTCTACATGAATCTCATCTTCATATGTCACTGACACTGGGAAAGGCAGTAGAAACAAAATGAGACATGGAATCTACTCATTGCTCAGCATGAAATATCTATGTACATGACAAGCAGTAATTCACTTAGGGGATTAATAATAATGATGACACTAGTTACCTTCAATTGAATACCTACCATGTGACAAGTACTGTTAAGTGTCACATACATATTACTTCTAAAGAACAAGAGTTCTGCAAGTTAATCTTTTACTGAAACATGGATAGTAGGTGCCAGGTCTGGATTTTAACCTGAGCTTGTTGTCTCACTGGACTTGATCTGAAATGGTCATCATCTTTTGATATTACATTGGTGTTGTGGATGCAAACCACTTCCATGCAACATTATATAAGCCCCACTCTCTCTTCTACTACTGTTCCTTCAGCCTGAAGATTCCCAGATACAAACAACTACTAATGATTTACAAGGTCCTAACTTTGTAATCAGATTTGTATGGATTGTAGACAAACTAACTTTTCCCTGTCACCTTACAGGTGTCCCCATGGTAGACTTTGGGAGAATTAGATGATAAAAGAAAAGTTATATGGCACATAACTTGAAATGAGCTTTAAGGGAAATACAATAAAGTACTCAAATACTACAATGAAATAGGGGCATTTTTACCATTATACATATATGTTATTTCAAAAGAATACCTTCTATAAGTTAATAAAGAAGGATGTTTTATTTTCTATGTAGAGCACTAGCTGTTGTATCTACTTCACCTCAACTTTGAAAAATTCATGCTTCCAAATTCATATAAGCCTGTTTATTCACTGAAAGGCATTTATTTTATCAATCATTTTGAATGATGACTTGGTGGAAAATTCAGTCTTTTTGTGTGTAATAAAACTAGTTTCAAATTCTAAAATATAATTTGACTTGTCAATAAGAAGTGCCCTTTGTTGCCCATTACTGTTAGATAAGTTACCCTCAGTAAGAGTAGGGAAGTGCAGGGCACTGAGGTTTTCCAGAGTGGAGATGGGGTTTGTGTCTTGGTATGACAATGGGCTGTGGACTGAATGAATGGCAGAGTATCTTTTAAGCTTCACTTTCCTGATGTGTAAAATGAAGACTGGAGACTAAATGATTTCTTCATGTCCCTTCCAATTCTCAAGCACCTTATTGCTCATAATCTACCTAGCAATCCACATGCGGTAACTCTTTAGACTTGAAATCACTCATGGACAATGCTGCAAGCATACCCTGGGCTTATGACGTACATCCATCTCATAGATTTCCAGCTCTCTTGCTAATGACTTGCACTTTGGTCTGTAATTGAATTCTTTTTTCCACACCACATAGAGAGTAATATTAGTACTGGCTGCTTTGAGCTTGCTTTAACACTGGTACAATGGAAAAAGGACTCATTTTGTTTCGTTTCAAATTATATATTGATACCCACACTTCCCCCAGCCCGACCTTTTCATTAACTTACAAAGAAGACAAACCATAAAGAATAATGCAATGCAAGCTTGGACTTCTGGAATTTTCTTTAGATCTCCTGAAGGGATTGAAACTGGAGAATTTGTTTTCAGTAGGGACTTTGGTTAAACCAAAATGATGGCTGTCTAAAAAACTCTTGTTGGTTTTTAATTTAAGCCAAATAATACATTCAATCCTCAGCTACTTAAGTTATGGGGTCAAAGTGAACATAAATAAATTAGTTTCTACAACCCATCAAATCCAATCTGTTTTTCAGCCTTTAAGACCAGTAAGTGTTAATCGATTGTCCATTACAAACATTACATAGACCTATTTTCCCTGGAAATTTTAAAAAGTGGTAAAAAGACATTCAGGATGGATTAAAAAACATCTGAATGCATAAGACTTGGTTTTCATATGATCAATTGGTACAAGCAAGTGGGTGAATAAAGAAAATGTTAATGAAGAGTATAAAAGAATCATATGTTATATGGAAATCAGCTTTTTCAGCTTTCAGAAATGAATACGCCGCTCACATAAAGAAATCTTATAACCTCCACAAGCATAGTCAGATTTAACTGTAAATTCTATCCATAAATCCCATGATGAACACTAAAGACATTTCTGAAGCCCTCCTATGGCACTGCATATAATATTTCACACCCATTTCGTGAATTAAGGGCTGCCAATTATTAACATTTTTGCAGATGGAGAATCTGAAACCTAAAAAGCTGGGTTTTTTTTTTCCATATATAAAATGTCTAGTGAGAGGTAAGATTCAAATTCAGGTTTGTTAGGCTGAAAGAGTCTAGAAACTCAGCTTTTAGCCACCAACTTACCCTGCTTCCTAAAAACAAACAAACAAACAAAAAAAACAAAACCCCCCAGAAAACAAAAAAACACACACACCAACAACCGTGTGTTGTTCAGTCGAGGGAAATGTACAGGCACCCACCTTGCTCCATTGGAACCTCACTACAGTACTTCCTGGCCAAGTTCTGACAGGCTGCCATCATATACTCTCATCGCAGGAAAAAAGACACTACCATTTGCTGTTATTTCACTAGGTTATATGTCAGAAGTGCAACCAGAAAAAAAAATCTCACATGTGATAAGATGTGTCAGTTAGTCCTATGAAATGATCTTTTCCATTTTTAAGATATTTAAACGTTAATGTGGTACTGTGTGTAATACTCCTTTATTCACGCTCAAGTTTTCTAATCTTTCTTAGCTCTCTGTTTCTAGTAACATTCCATTTCTCGGTCCTCAATAACTTAAATTCCCAAATGAAGTAGCAAAGAAAAAGGACAAAGAGTAACCCTATCCTTAAAGTTCTAGTGAAATCTATTGAAACAAACTGCAGAAAGCCACTTATTGTAACCATTCTTCCAAGTTTAGAGTTTTAATATTGCTTGTTGATAACAATTTATGCTACATGATTAATATAGATATATTTCAGAAAAGAAAGACTCGTCCATAATGCGCACCCTTGGCTTCCTTTTCTTGTTTCACCTTCCACTTCAGGTCAAGGTGACGCGAGGATTAGATAGAACCAGGAACGATCCAGGAAGAAGTAACAGCAGGACCCGCGGGCATTGAAAGGAAAACAAGGATATACCTAATTTTTAATTCTCCATAAACTTCCGGAGGGTGCCCATTATAAATCTTCTTCCATAATTGTCCTCTATACTCTAACTCGTGCCCCTTTATTTTGTAACTGATCTGGTAATTCTGGGCTATGTCCATTCTTGATTCTTCAAGACCTTGGAGATGGGACAGGGTTCTTGTGATTCCACGGTGGAGCCAGGAAAGCCCACAGACCAAGCGTCAAAGGGACCGAGGAGCTAATCCCTGTTCCAGCACTCTCCCCGACCCGGCTCTTTTTGCATGAGGAAGTATTTACTGTAAAACATTCCAATTTTCCTCAGCAGATTCTCTCCCTTAACATCTTTTTGTCCCATTTCTTATTCCAGTAAACTTTTGGACTCTGGTCACATGGCTGCCAACGAAACCCAGCTCGCCCCCCCCCCCCCTGTTCATTTCAGGTCTGAAATCCGCACAAATAAAATAGGAAGAAAAAGAAACCTGAAACTGGCCTCTCCCATTGTCAGCCCGAAGGCTTGGTTCCCGGCAAAAGGCACAAGGTACAGCCCCTGAGGGAAACTCCCAGCCTCTCTGAGGGAGGAAAACGGGGTTTTCCAGAGTCCTATCCCCTTAGGGTTTAAAATCACTTCTTGTGGGAGCCGCGCTTTCACTTCTCCGGGGAGTTGAGAACTGTAGGAGCCAAGTGCTCCCCGACGCCGGGCGCCGGTAAGTTGTAATCTGGAGCGGCCAGGGACGCGAGTAGGGTGGCTGGGCGAGGAGGACCAAGGGCAGCGTAGCTGAGGACGACCGACAGAGCCCCGTCTCCCTCGGAGGCCCGTCTGCCCTGGCTGACCAGCGCAGAGGCTGCAGCGCTTGGTCCCGGGACAGAAACAGAAACGGGGCGTCGGGGATGGCTTCTCGCAGCCAGCTAGGCGCAGCTGCCCCAGGTGCCAGTGGCTTTGGGCCAGGGAACTCCGGCGCAGCTACCGGCTGCTAGTGGGACAGCCAGTGCTCTCGACAGGTCCAAAGTGCAAGGCCTGGCTGTTCCCGGACGCGCCTGGGCGCGGGGCCCGACTGCGCGCCCCGGAGCCCCCAGCGTGCCCAGCGCGCGAACTTGTGCGCCAGGAGCGGAGCGCTTACCATGGAACATGGTCTGCGGGAGGCGGGCGTGGTCATGATGACCGCAGCGGCAGCAGGAGCGCACTCTCACAGCCCATGATCACTGCGAGGACCACCGTGTGCTCGGAGGGGCCGGTAGTTGGGTCCAGCGGACGCCTCTGCAGCTGGTGCCTCTGCGGCTGGTTCCTCTGCCCCACGCCGCGCCCGCCGCTTCATCCATCCCAGGGGAGGGGGTGGGGGCAGCGGCACACGCCACGGCCCGGCTGGGCGCTCTGCCTTTCCTAGAACTTCCGTAGGATCTGCCGCAGTGTACTTTCAGTTTCTACTTCGCTCTGGATCTGCAGGTTCGAGCGTTGGGTTCATCACCGGCGCCTTCAGTGGCCCTTCTTCCCCTGCGCACCTGTGTACCCCACTCCCCAGCGCTTTCTGTGAATCTGGACCAGGACTAGAGGAGGACTCCGCAGGAGGACCGAGGGGACGTTCTGAATTAGAGCGGTTCTAGGCAAGACGCTTTCCAGATGACCTCTAGCCGCCTTGGCAGAGCTAGGTCCCTGGAATAGGCAAGCATCGGTTGCCACTGTGTCATGGAAGCGACAAAAGTATAGGACGAAAGCTGGGCTACTGCAAGCAGACGCCAGGGAGGGAGCGTAGCAGCTCTGGCCACAGGTGTGATGGCCGGTGCCAATCGGTCTTCTAAGAAAGAAAGTAGGAAGGATTGAGAAAGTCACGCCCTCAGCCTCTCCAACTCCTCTCATCAGTCTCTTTCTGCTCTTTGTAGATGCACCTGCTCAGGTGAGACCTTAGGGTAAAATAATTCTGTGGGTCCACCTACGCTGGTAAGTGGAAATCTTTGGACATGGAAATCAAAGCCCAAATTAGGTGGAGGAAATGGAGTCTATTATAGTTAAATAAGTGACTCTCACATTTATCTGAATTGGCTAAGAAATCGTACTTTTCATTTTGACTGTGTGTTGCTGAGTAGTTAAAATTTTTTTCAGGCCTGAATTATTTAGGTATATCCTGTTTTAGTTTGGTTTGTGTTAGTCCGCCGAAGCTTTGCTTAAATGAAGGCGGGTAAGTAATAACGGTGATAATAACAGTGGCTATTGTGTATCTATCGTTTGTTCTGTGCTAGTATTATGCTAAGTAAGCATTTTGCACATGTGGTCTCATGCAACATTTTTTGTGAGGTAGACAGTTTTCTTATCTGTGGTCACAGCTGTGGGAACCGATACTTCCTTAAGTAATTTGTCAGAGTTCACCTAGCCAGTTAGTGGCGGAGCTTGTACACAAACCTGCTGCATTCTGGCTGTGGAGTCTATGCATGGAACCCTGTGTTAGAAGTCCTCATGAATCATGTAGAAACTGACGCCAGGAGGGAGACAGGGGCATGGGAGCACTCCTGATTCTGTTCTGGGGTGAAGGAAGAGAGAAAGAGGGGAGGGAGAGAGAGAATACCAATGAAATAGAGAGTGAGACGGATTGCTCAAGCCTGAAACTTGGATCCTCTATTTGTCTGTTAGTCTCCTGTCTCACATCCAATCCACAGTCAAGCCCCATTAGCTCTACCTCTAATCCACTCTATCTGCTCTGAGCATTGTCTGTGGGCCAACCACAAACACCCCATCCTGCAGTCCAGAATGGCCAGCTTTCACTCTTGCCGGTGACCTTTCTCCTCACAGGAGCCTGACCACTTCCAATTACCCCAAGCCTAAGGTCCTGGGTGACCTGGGTTCTGCTGCCTCTCTTACCCTCTGTGGCTCCAGCCACACTGTCCTGTCCCACCCAAGTTGCCTTCAGTTAAGTATAGTATTAGATTCAGGCAGTCAGACAGGACTCCTTAGGAACAGAGTGAGACAACAACCGAGAGAGAAGGCATGAATGGGCACATGCCTGAGGGGACGGATGTGAATGCAGAGGGAAACAGGGAAGATGGAGAGGAGGATGAAAACGAAAGCAGGAGAGGGAATGGGTGGGCAAATCAGACCACTTCCATATGACTGGAACCTGGAGAAGAGATGAGCATGGAGACACAGGAAGCTGCAGCGACTTCTAAAAGGGAATCCAGTACCTAAACACACTTAGGTTGGTTATTTATTATCCCTGACAGTGATACTGAGTTATAGAAATTACCCCCCGCTTTTTTCACTTTTTAAGGGACAGATAAATGAGCATCTATCAATAACTTCCTTAAGAGGAAATCTGTCTTCCTTTTTCATGCAATCACCACAAAACCTGGCACAATAAGGGCGCATGCATAAGTGAATGTTGGGGAAGAATGAGGAGAAGTATTCAGAGCTCCAGGAGAGATGTAGATTCCTCATTCTGACCCCAAATGTGAAGAATCACTCTTCAGAACATAGGATTTGGAATTTTTGTTGTATGAGAGTGGACCCATTCTCACCACATTTTTATTATTTTTCTATCAGAAAAGAATTTCTAAATGAAGTCTTAAATGAATGGTTGATATTTTGATAAACTGAACATTATTTTCTACAAGACAGATGGGCAAGGACAAAATGTCTGAATTTTTCTATGCTGATGTTTTATGATTAGAAAAATGGAGTTATTACTATTATGTTTACTCATAGCCCCAGTGAAGTGTGCAGAACGGTCAACGTGAAAACAGTACATAAAGTTTATGTATTATAACCAATAAATACTAAGAAGGAAGACAACATTCTCAGGATTGTTAATACAATGTAATAGAAAAAATGAAATAAGATGATATAAAAGTCATCTTAAAGAGAGACTTGTTAAAGATTAAACAGTGTCTTTTTTAATGTTCTAGCAGGGATGTCCAACCTTTTGGCATCTCTGGGCCACACTGGGAGAAGTGTTGTCTTGGGCCACACATTAAATACATCGTGACATATAATCAAAAAAAAATCTCATAATGCTTTAAGAAATTAATGATTTTGTGTGGGGCCATGTTCATAGCCATCCTGAGTTGCATATGGTCTAGTGCCTTCAATCAAAATAGTCAATTATTGGTAACCTGAAAATGTTTTCTTAATTAATTATCTAAACTATTTTTACCTAACTATAACTATTTTTGATAGTCTAAGATCTCAATGCTAGCTGTTGCTCTGTCTGTGGATATTTTCTGAAGTTCCTATGACTTAATTTTCCAGGCATAGTATTCAACGTACTTTGGAGACACACAGATACACACACACACACACACACACACACACATACACATGAGTTTGACATTTTTAATGACCATGTGTTCTGGGTCATCACCCAGGGGCCTGTGTAAGTGCTTACAAGGGCTCTATGCTTGGTTTAATGCTCTATGTCACTGTCTTGTGATTCCTGATTTTTTTTGTCAAAAGCACTCTTATTTTCACTTTGTAACTGGGCCTCACAAATTCTGTAACTGCTTGTGTACGCACACATATTAAGCTAGACATTGTAGATAGCAATGCAGGTCTGTTGGGGAGATCAGAAGTTAAATGTGTAATTTCAAAGATAAAAGAATATTATAAAAAAGAAAGGACAAGATGTATTGATATTTCAAACCAAGAACTTAAGGCAGTCTAGGCAGACTCATTTTAAAGATTAATGAAACTGGGGTCCAAAAAAGGTTCATTTACATGTCCATTGGGAAAAAGCTATAATGGAGAAGCTATAAATTAAATCAGATCTCTTTGTTTTTCAGGCCTGAGCATGAAAATGAATTTTAAATTTTATCAGATGATTATTTAGCATCTATTTACATAGTTACGTTTTTTCTTGTTCCATTTCTAAATAAACCACAAATTTACCTTAATGCTATATTCAAGTTGCTAATATTTAACTTAAAATTTTGTAATTACATTCTTAATTGGTAGATATTTGTTCCTCATATTTAACTGAGCTTGGGCTATTTTTGTCAGATTTTTTTTAACTTCCTAAAGGGATTTGGGAATTCTCTTGTTTTTTTGCAAACCATAGCTATTTAAGTATTATGTAAACTCTTTGTATTTGGATACTTGACTATAGTTCAATAATAAAAACATATTTGATTTAGCAGGATGAAGCCCAGGGATAAGATGAGACTGCCAGTTTTGAGCTATGAAAATGAAAATAAAAAGGTTTCTTTTGAAGTTTGAATGAAGGCCATGTCAAAATATCAAGAACCCTTGCCCTGGGTGGTATGGCTCAGTGGATTGAGTGCCAGCCTGTGAACCAAAGGGTCACCAATTCAGTTCCCAGTCAGGGCACATGCCTGGGTTGCAGGCCATGTCCCCAGTTGGGGACATGGGGGGGGGCAACCACACATTGATATTTCTCTCCCTCTCTTTCTCCTCCCCTTCTCCTCTCTCTAAAAATAAATAAATACAATCTATAAAAATTATCAAGAATCTTGCTAGAAATGTGTATGTCAGCATATTGGTGATTGCTTGAGCTATAGAAATGAATGAAATTACTCAACCTACAACTAAGAAGGAAGTGACAGAGCACTAAGGCTGGGAGGAACCTTGAGTATTGAACACTAAAGTTCGATGGAGAAATGGATGCCCATGAACAAAGTAACAAACAGTGGGCAGCAAAATGGGAAAGGCAGAATCTGGTTTCCCAGAAAGCAAAGGAGGATAGAATTTCAAGTTAGTTTAGGTAGTCAGTGTTTCCAAATGCCACAGAGAGATTGAACAAGTGAAGTCTGAAAAGTAGGTCCACTGACTTTGGCATAGGAGAGATTGTCTATATTCCTCATGACAACAGTTTGAGAAGAACAACATAAAAATAATATTCCAATTGGTAGGGTGTAAACAAAGATACAAATAAAGTGAGAGACAACTTTTTAAAGATACCTGGTGAAAGTAAAAGGACGTGCGTAATGGTCTGAAAGACATGCCCAGCATAGTGGAGGTTTTTGTTTTCATGTAGGAGAGGTACTAGAGCATATTTATATATTAATTGGTAAAATGGTGTTCTTCTGAAGAAGTAGAAAAGGATAGAACCAAGAAACCCAAGATGAATTATTTTTTTCTTATGCTTCTTTCATTTCTCTCTCCTCTTTCATTTCAGTCCTTGAATTCTCCAGTTCTGCATAATAGGAACCAACTATAAATCTAGTGCCTAATTTTATGTTCTTTATTGAAGTGTTCCCTTTAATACTCTCATGTCTACTTCTGGATTGAGTATTGGCTAGTTGAAGAGAAAAATATTTCCTGAATTACCTTCAGAGGGAGCAAGTATAGCTTATATAGTTTTCACTATCCAGTATTTTTGTACATTAATGGATGTGTTGTGGGCAGAGTTATCTTTCATATACTAAATTCTAGAGAGATTGTGCTTTTAACTACTGCCTGGATAGATGCCTAATTGGGGATGATTATGCCTATGATAGTTTTCTTCATGCAAGTTATTTGAAGAAAATGGAAAAATAGTGTCTTTCTTTGCCTTAAAGTCCCTGGAGAGATTCCCTTAACATCATCCACTTACTATGGGAAAGATGCTATGTTGTTCTTATGAAGTCTTGGACAGTAGTAGCGGTGTCTTATTCAACCTGGAATTCTCTGAAGTCAACAGAATCCCATTTAAGATACAGATTCTACCCAAGTGTAACTTGTGGGAAAGGAAGAAACCAGATGCATAGGTTTTGACTTGTTTTCACAGACAACCGGTTCTTGGGG